GAAGAGTACAACCATTGTGATGGGATCCCTGGATTTGAAAGTTCTCGTAATCCATCCTATCATTTTTCTGGCTGACGCAATATTTGCTTGGTTATGCTCCCTAAAATTTAGGTCGTCAGACATCATTATTCCGAAATCCTTTACATGTTGCTTTCCTACTATGGGCAAAGTTGATTGCATTTTGTACCCTGTATTATGTTTAAGGTTCTCATTTTTACCGTACCTGAGTACCTGGAATTTTTGCTGTTAAACATCATATTATTTTCTGCTGTCCAGTCGAAAACTTTATTAATATCTGCTTGAAGTTTTTCAATGTCTTCAGCAGAGGTAATTTTCATGCTCATTTTTGTGTCATCTGCAAAGGATGATACGAAGCTGTGACTTGTATTTGAGTCTATGTCTGATATGAGAATAAGGAAAAGCAGTGGTGCAAGAACTGTACCTTGAGGTACAGAGCTTTTAACTGCGCTTGTACTCGATTTGATATGGTTGGCTGTTACTGTTTGTGTTCTGTTCGACAGAAAACTGAGTATCCAGCGTCCTACTTTACCAGTTATTCCCATTGACCTCATTTTGTGTGTTATCACTCCATGGTCACATTTATCGAATGCCTTTGCTAAGTCCGTATATACCACATCTGCATTTTGTTTTTCTTCTAATGCCTCAGTGACTTTGTCGTTGTGTTCAAGTAGCTGTGAGAGGCACGAACTTCCATCTCTAAAACCATGTTGGCCTGGATTGTGGAGGTCATTGGTCTCCATGAAACTAGTGACCTGACTCCTGATCACTCTCTCAAATACTTGTATTATGTGGGACGTTAGTGCAACTGGTCTATAATTCTTTGCCAATGCTTTGCTCCCTCCCTTGTGTAGAGGAGCTATGTCTGCTGCTTTAAGTGCATCTGGTATCTCCCCCGTGTCTAAGCTCTTCCTCCACACTATACTGAGTGCCTGTGCTACTGGCACTGCATTTCTTTATAAATATTGAATTCCATGAGTCTGGACCAGGGGCTGAGAGCATGGGCATTGTCAATTCCTCTTTAAAAATCTGCCATGCTCGTACTGATATCAGTTATATTTACAGGGGTTTGGATATCACGCATAAAGAAGTTGTCCGGATCTTCCACTTTCATGCTGTATATCTGGATGCTAAACATGTCCTCATACTGCTTTTTTAGGATTTCACTAATTTCTTTGTCATCCTCAGTGTATGAACCTTTAATAGTACGAATAGGACCATTACTGGCAGTGGTTTTTGCTTTTGATTTAGCATATATGAAGAAATATATATTTTTTGTTTTATTTAATTGCTTTCTGTTCTAGTTGCTTTTCTTTAATCTCCCAGTTTAAATTATTCCTTCTTTGCATGGAAAGTCGTGTCTGCTTCAGCATTTCCGTTAACTTTTTTCTCATCTTGTAATGTCGTCTGCGTTCTCTTTCTACGTTGGACCTCTTTCTGGCTTTCCTCAAAGGAACATGTTTCAGACAGACTTCATAGGTTTCAGAAGTCAGTTTTTCTATTCTTTGTGTAGGATTTTTATTACTTAGAACATTTTCCCATTGAATGTTTATAAGTTCCCTGTTTATTTTCTCCCAGTCTATCCTTGTATTATTAAAATTTAATTTATTGAATAGCTCTTCTAGCTTGTTGTTTCTCTTGGGCCTACTACCGTTATTAATGTTAGTTTGCACTTCAGTGAGCTTGTGGTCCGAGTACGTAGTGTCTGAGACAGTAATGTCTCTGATTAGCTCATCATTGTTCGTGAATATCATGTCCAGCGTGTTCTCGTTCCAAGTCGAAGTCGGTTCTGTAATCTGCTGACTGAGCGAGAATTTGTCACAGAATCTTCAGTTCTCTGACCTGTGGTTGGTTATTTCCAGGTTGATTTCCTGCTATAATGTTACTGTTTACTATTCTCCATTGTAAACTGGGTAGATTGAAGTCTCCAAGGAAGATAATATCTGGTACTGGGTTTGCTAGGTTATCAAGGACATTCTCTATTTTGTGGATCTGCTCAGTGAATTCCTCAACTGTTGCATCTGGCGGTTTGTATATTAGAATAATAATTAGATTTATATTCTCTACCTTGATTCCAAGTACCTCTACCACCTCATTTGTCAAGTTCAGGAGCTCTATGCATGCCAGCTCCTCTTTAATATACAGACCTACTCCTCCACTTGACCTAATTACTCTGTCCCATCTATATAGATTATAATTTGGGATCCAGATTTCAATATCCATGTGGTCTTTTGTGTGGGCCATTTATGAACTTAACTTTATTTCCTGACTTTGACTTTAGGCCTTGTATGTTTTGAAATATGAATGATTTCCCATATTGCGTGTCACTTCTTGTGGGCTTTGGAAGTCCCCCCCCCCCCTCTCCACCCAGGTCCAGGGTGTGTTGTTTTGGTAGTGGTTCGTCCAGTGTTGGTAGTAGGACGGGTGTTGTGTGGTGTTGCACCTGTGTGCTTGTTGATGACTTGTGTTCCAGTCTTGTGGGTATCTCCCTTTCCCTGGGGAGCCGGTGGCTGGACGCGTGATCCTGTGGTCCCAGGTTCAATCCCAGGCGCCGGCAAGAAACAATGGAAACAATGGCAGAGTTTCTTTCAGCCTGTTGCCTAGCAGTAAATAGGTACATGGGAGTTAGTCAGCTGTCACGGGCTGCTTCCTGGGGGTGGAGGCCTGGTCGAGGACCGGGCCGTGGGGACACTAAAGCCCCAAAATCATCTCAAGATAATTTCCCCTCTGTAATCCTGTAGTGGTTCCATCTGACTGTTCCTCTCTCTTATATGTTCTACTCTGTTTCTGCCTTCCTTTTAAAAATGACGTGATGGCTTGATCACGTCATTATTTGACAACGCAACGTTACGATCACGTGACAGTTTGACGACAATCAACGGGACGTCAATAATGACGTGAGGGTTGGATGTGATAGCGACGGTCAGCAGGTGAGCTGTGTGGCTACACCCGCGGCGGCTCCGTTATCAGTTCCTCGCTATCTTACACCTGTAAAGTCTGCCAGGTTCACAGGATGGGGGGGGGATGGGGAGGGGGGGAGACAAGCAGGGCCAAAAATATAAGTGGTATCAGTTTTCCGAGTGGGGCTGCAATGCTGATTTACTGCCTGAGTGTGTTGGAGGGTGTTGGAGGGTGTTGGAGGGTGTTGGAGAGTGTTGGAGGATGTTGGAGGGTGTTGGAGGGTGTTGGACTGTGTTGGAGGGTGTTGGAGGGTGTTGGAGGGTGTTGGACTGTGTTGGAGGGTGTTGGAGGGTGTTGGAGGGTGTTGGACTGTGTTGGAGGGTGTTGGAGGGTGTTGGAGGGTGTTGGAGAGTGTTGGAGGGTGTTGGAGAGTGTTGGACTGTGTTGGAGGGTGTTGGACTGTGTTGGACTGTGTTGGAGGGTGTTGGACTGTGTTGGAGTGTGTTGGACTGTGTTGGAGGGTGTTGGAGGGTGTTGGAGGGTGTTGGAGGGTGAGACTGTGTTGGAGGGTGTTGGACTGTGTTGGAGGGTGAGACTGTGTTGGAGGGTGTTGGAGTGTGTTGGACTGTGTTGGACTGTGTTGGAGGGTGTTGGAGTGTGTTGGAGTGTGTTGGACTGTGTTGGAGTGTGTTGGACTGTGACGGAGGGTGAGACTGTGTTGGAGGGTGTTGGACTGTGTTGGAGGGTGAGACTGTGTTGGAGGGTGAGACTGTGTTGGAGGGTGTTGGACTGTGTTGGAGTGTGTTGGACTGTGTTGGACTGTGTTGGAGGGTGTTGGACTGTGTTGGACTGTGTTGGACTGTGTTGGACTGTGATGGAGGGTGAGACTGTGTTGGAGGGTGTTGGACTGTGTTGGAGTGTGTTGGACTGTGTTGGACTGTGATGGAGGGTGAGACTGTGTTGGAGTGTGTTGGAGGGTGAGACTGTGTTGGGGGTGTTGGACTGTGTTGGAGTGTGTTGGACTGTGTTGGAGGGTGTTGGACTGTGTTGGAGGGTGTTGGACTGTGTTGGAGGGTGTTGGACTGTGTTGGAGGGTGTTGGACTGTGTTGGAGGGTGTTGGAGGGTGTTGGAGTGTGTTGGACTGTGTTGATGTGTGTTGGACTGTGTTGGAGGGTGTTGGAGGGTGTTGGAGAGTGTTGGACTGTGTTGGAGGGTGTTGGACTGTGTTGGAGGGTGTTGGAGGGTGTTGGAGTGTGTTGGAGGGTGTTGGAGGGTGTTGGAGAGTGTTGGACTGTGTTGGAGGGTGTTGGACTGTGTTGGAGGGTGAGACTGTGTTGGAGGGTGAGACTGTGTTGGAGGGTGTTGGACTGTGTTGGAGGGTGTTGGACTGTGTTGGAGTGTGTTGGAGTGTGTTGGAGGGTGTTGGAGGGTGTTGGAGGGTGTTGGAGAGTGTTGGACTGTGTTGGAGGGTGTTGGACTGTGTTGGAGGGTGAGACTGTGTTGAAGGGTGAGACTGTGTTGGAGGGTGAGACTGTGTTGGAGGGTGAGACTGTGTTGGAGGGTGAGACTGTGTTGGAGGGTGTTGGACTGTGTTGGAGTGTGTTGGAGTGTGTTGGACTGTGTTGGAGGGTGTTGGAGGGTGTTGGACTGTGTTGGAGGGTGTTGGACTGTGTTGGAGGGTGTTGGAGTGTGTTGGACTGTGTTGGAGTGTGTTGATGTGTGTTGGACTGTGTTGGAGTGTGTTGGACTGTGTTGGACTGTGTTGGACTGTGTTGGAGGGTGTTGGAGTGTGTTGGAGTGTGTTGGACTGTGTTGGAGGGTGTTGGATTGTGTTGGAGGGTGTTGGACTGTGTTGGAGTATGTTGGAGTGTGTTGGAGGGTGTTGGACTATGATGGACTGTGTTGGAGGGTGTTGGAGTGTGTTGGAGAGTGTTGGACTGTGCTGGAGGGTTTTGGAGGGTGTTGGAGGGTGTTCCGAACACACTCCAACGAAACACTCTCCAGGTATGTTGCGTTGAGGTCCGTGTTGGGGTGAGGCGGCCGGGAGAGCTGCTCTAGAGGGTCCCTGAAGCTGGAGGTGTCAGGGCCAGCAGGAAGCCCTGGCCCGGTCCATCAGTGGGGGCGTCACAATGGCCCGGTCCATCAGTGTGGGCGTCACAATGGCCCGGTCCATCAGTGTGGGCGTCACAATGCCCCGGTCCATCAGTACGGGCGTCACAATGGCCCGGTCCATCAGTGAGGGCGTCACAATGGCCCGGTCCATCAGTGGGGGCGTCACAATGGCCCGGTCCATCAGTGTGGGCGTCACAATGGCCCGGTCCATCAGTGCGGGCGTCACAATGGCCCGGTCCATCAGTGTGGGCGTCACAATGCCCCGGTCCATCAGTACGGGCGTACCAATGGTGCGGTCCATCAGAACGGGCGTCACAATGGCGCGGTCCATCAGAACGGGCGTCACAATGGCATGGTCCATCAGTACGGGCGTCACAATGCCCCGGTCCATCAGTGTGGGCGTCACAATGCCCCGGTCCATCAGTACGGGCGTCACAATGGCCCGGTCCATCAGTGTGGGCGTCACAATGGCGCGGTCCATCAGTACGGGCGTCACAATGGCATGGTCCATCAGTACGGGCGTCACAATGCCCCGGTCCATCAGTGTGGGCGTCACAATGGCGCGGTCCATCAGTGTGGGCGTCACAATGGCGCGGTCCATCAGTGTGGGCGTCACAATGGTGCGGTCCATCAGTACGGGCGTCACAATGGCGCGGTCCATCAGTGTGGGCGTCACAATGCCCCGGTCCATCAGTGTGGGCGTCACAATGCCCCGGTCCATCAGTACGGGCGTCACAATGCCCCGGTCCATCAGTGAGGGCGTCACAATGCCCCGGTCCATCAGTGTGGGCGTCACAATGCCCCGGTCCATCAGTACGGGCGTCACAATGGCCCGGTCCATCAGTGAGGGCGTCACAATGCCCCGGTCCATCAGTGTGGGCGTCACAATGCCCCGGTCCATCAGTACGGGCGTCACAATGCCCCGGTCCATCAGTGTGGGCGTCACAATGCCCCGGTCCATCAGTACGGGCGTCACAATGGCATGGTCCATCAGTACGGGCGTCACAATGCCCCGGTCCATCAGTGTGGGCGTCACAATGGCGCGGTCCATCAGTGTGGGCGTCACAATGGCGCGGTCCATCAGTGTGGGCGTCACAATGGTGCGGTCCATCAGTACGGGCGTCACAATGGCGCGGTCCATCAGTGTGGGCGTCACAATGCCCCGGTCCATCAGTGTGGGCGTCACAATGCCCCGGTCCATCAGTACGGGCGTCACAATGCCCCGGTCCATCAGTGAGGGCGTCACAATGCCCCGGTCCATCAGTGTGGGCGTCACAATGCCCCGGTCCATCAGTACGGGCGTCACAATGCCCCGGTCCATCAGTGAGGGCGTCACAATGCCCCGGTCCATCAGTGTGGGCGTCACAATGCCCCGGTCCATCAGTACGGGCGTCACAATGGCCCGGTCCATCAGTGAGGGCGTCACAATGCCCCGGTCCATCAGTGTGGGCGTCACAATGCCCCGGTCCATCAGTACGGGCGTCACAATGCCCCGGTCCATCAGTGTGGGCGTCACAATGCCCCGGTCCATCAGTACGGGCGTCACAATGGCATGGTCCATCAGTACGGGCGTCACAATGCCCCGGTCCATCAGTGTGGGCGTCACAATGGCGCGGTCCATCAGTGTGGGCGTCACAATGGCGCGGTCCATCAGTGTGGGCGTCACAATGGTGCGGTCCATCAGTACGGGCGTCACAATGGCGCGGTCCATCAGTGTGGGCGTCACAATGCCCCGGTCCATCAGTGTGGGCGTCACAATGCCCCGGTCCATCAGTACGGGCGTCACAATGCCCCGGTCCATCAGTGAGGGCGTCACAATACCCCGGTCCATCAGTGTGGGCGTCACAATGCCCCGGTCCATCAGTACGGGCGTCACAATGGCCCGGTCCATCAGTGAGGGCGTCACAATGCCCCGGTCCATCAGTGTGGGCGTCACAATGCCCCGGTCCATCAGTACGGGCGTCACAATGCCCCGGTCCATCAGTGTGGGCGTCACAATGCCCCGGTCCATCAGTACGGGCGTCACAATGCCCCGGTCCATCAGTACGGGCGTCACAATGCCCCGGTCCATCAGTACGGGCGTCACAATGCCCCGGTCCATCAGTACGGGCGTCACAATGCCCCGGTCCATCAGTACGGGCGTCACAATGCCCCGGTCCATCAGTACGGGCGTCACAATGCCCCGGTCCATCAGTACGGGCGTCACAATGCCCCGGTCCATCAGTACGGGCGTCACAATGCCCCGGTCCATCAGTACGGGCGTCACAATGCCCCGGTCCATCAGTACGGGCGTCACAATGCCCCGGTCCATCAGTACGGGCGTCACAATGCCCCGGTCCATCAGTACGGGCGTCACAATGCCCCGGTCCATCAGTACGGGCGTCACAATGCCCCGGTCCATCAGTACGGGCGTCACAATGCCCCGCTGAGCCTCCACACACACTACAAAACTGCCCCAACAACATAATTATCTCCTCTAATACTATTCATACCGCGTAAATATACCGGTCGACACACATTATCTCGCTCTTCCTCTCGTAAAACAAAGTTGTGATGTATCATTTTTATGACTGTCGGCGGAGGTGGCAGGGCGCAGGGAGAGTGACTGTAAGACTGTCGTCAACAGTTGCCACACTAGTGGCAAGTGCAGGCAGCGAGGCAACTACACTAACTGCTCACCACAACAACGTAGACAAACGCCATGATGATAATATACTATAATTGCAGATAACGATACAAGTCAGTTCACTACTGTGGTATCACACTAGGGCCACCCCTACCTTCCCACCTTCTCCAAACTACGGGCCGCGAGGCCCAGTTATTAGACCTTTCAGACCAGTTGGCATGAGGTACCTGGAGCTTTGCAATTACTTTATTCACTCTCGTATTCTTGAAGATATCCTCACAGTATACCCAAAATTTGCCAGTGCAGGCTATTAAACACATGGCCCTGTATGACTAACCATCCTGCGAGATGGGGACTTGTATTACCACTGCTACCTTATTCAATCTTGTGGTGTTGATATCCTCAAAATGCATCCGGAGTCTGTCAGTGCAGACTGCCTATCACATGCCTCTGTATGACTAACCATCCTGTGTGATGGGGATTTTTTAACATCACCTAGTTAGCTTTTTTGACACACTGTACTCCACTTCATATAGTCTAGGGTAGCTGCACTAATGCAGATGTACCTCATGTATTAATAAAAAAAAAAAAAAAAAAAAAAAAAAAAAAAAAAAAGGGCCATACCTGTCCGCTCCAAGACTGTATCTGGTCCTCGGCAACTTTACATATATGTACCAAAATAAATTATTTTCCGTCGATTTTCTCCACCAAACATGGTCGTCCAGTAGCCACGGCCAGTTACTGAACTGTTTTCTTGGGGCGTGTTTGTTCCTCGTCGCATGCCACACAATTGGCCAAATTTCAGGTAAACATTGGAAAAATTACAGTAAATAAAATTATTCTATATAAATAAAAATGTAAATGTTCGTTTGTTCAAAATCGCTACTCTCTGACTGGTCTTCACCGATTGCTTTGAAATTTTGACAGAACGTTGCATTCGAATACGCACTTATTTGTATATACCTACTAAATAGATGCCACACCTGTGACAGGTAAAAACATGTTTTTTTTTTGAAAACCAGAGCCATCTGTTAGATGAAAAGGCAACACACACGTTATACAAAATATGTTACGATTCCATTTCAATGTTGCATTGATAAATTGAATTTTCATAGATTTTGATTTATTTTAATTTTGATTGAATTATTTTGTGTGACATTGCGTTGGAATTGAGCTGTGTTGTTTACCATATCGTTCATTTTGTGAGTATAGTTTATTTGTTTATTTTTTCATTGTTTTTCATTTCGTTTTTTTAACTGTTCTAATTATTGTTCTGTGATGGAAACATCAGATCATTTGGGAATGCATCAGACGAGGAAGTGGGGAATGGTGGGGAGGACGAGGGGTCGGGGTTGTTTGAGTATATGTATGTATATATGTGTATGTATGAGGAACTCGATAAATAATATGTATGAACAACTCGACAAATAATAATAATAATAAAATAAAGAGCCATAAACAGAACAACATGTGTGGAAGCATCGGAGTGTGTATATATGAATGCTACACAGTATTCATCTATGGACATCCATATATGGTGAAACACATGTGAAGAACCTCTCACACACTCACAGCTCCCTGACAAGAGGGAGCCAGCTCAGCTTAGCTGCCAACACCCACACATGGTGTCAGCAAGGCGGACAGCCCGCCTGCTTTCATACCTCTCACTATTTCCCACTTCTATACTTCCCTTTACCTATGCCTCTCCTTCCTCTTTACTCCCCCCCCCCTCCCCCTCCAAAAAAAAAGGGTCGGGGGAGTGGGGAATGGTTGGGAGGACGAGGGGACAGGGGGAGGGGGGACAGGGGGAGGGGGGACAGGGGGAGGGGGGACAGGGGGAGTGGGGAATGGATGAGGGGACAGGGGGAGGGGGGACAGGGGGAGGGGGCACGGGGGATATTGCCCCCAGCAACGCGTGGCCGGGTACAGCTAGTAGTAATGTAAATAAATAGCCTTCCTTTCTACTCTGCAGTAAAGTAAATGATTCTTTCGTCAGAGCATTTGCTAATGTGACGTTTGTATACATTATATATCATTTTCCAGTGTAAGCCCGGCCGGCAGCCTGTCTTTGTACTCGTCTCACTTCCCGTGTGTTCTCGATCACGATCATTACCATAAAGATCAAATAACACCTATTCATTTATATATAAAACTTATTGTTGTCTCTGGGCCGCAAAAATGTGTAAAATATACAAGTTGACCATTGTAGTGAGGCGTGTGGAGGTCCTGGGTGTGGGCCCCTGTGCTAGGGGGCCCCTGTGCTAGGGGGCCCCTGAGCGTGGGGCCCTGTGCTAGGGGGGCCCCTGAGCGTGGGGCCCTGTGCTAGGGGGGCCCCTGAGCGTAGGGCCCTGTGCTAGGGGGCCCCTGAGCGTAGGGCCCTGTGCTAGGGGGGCCCCTGAGCGTAGGGCCCTGTGCTAGGGGGGCCCCTGAGCGTAGGGCCCTGTGCAAGAGGCCCTAGGTGTCGGGCCCTGTGCTAGGGGCCCTAGGTGTCGAGCCCTGTGCTAGGGGGCCCCTGAGCGTAGGGCCCTGTGCTAGGGGGCCCCTGTGCGTGGGGCCCTGTGCTAGGGGCCCTGGGTGTGGGGCGCCTGTGCCAGAGGTACTGGGTGTGGAGCCAGAGTGTCATGAGTATTGTACTTAGGACACATTAGACATATATTGTAGTCATTAGTGCATGTACTAGTGACTATACATGTCATTAGTAACCATGTAGCAATTACCGTTCAGAATAGTAAACATAAAACATTGTATACATAGACGTTTGTCCACTATTGGTGTATGACTCTCTACAGGTGTAGAGAGTCACTCCTGACGGTGGGAGTGACCATGGTAAGTTTAACATTGTGTACTTTCATCTCAACCATTATAGCCCAACCACTTGGGCCGGACGGTGGAGCCACTGTCTCGCGTCATGCAGGTCTGTGTTCAAGCCCCGACCGTCCGGGCACCATTCCTTCCCCCCCCCCCCCCCCCCCGTCCCATCCCATATCCGTATCCTGACCCCTTCCTAGTGCTATATAGTCGTAATGGCTTGGCGCTTACCCCTGATAATTCCCTTCCCTTCACAACCCTGACGTGAAAGATTGTGAGCCGCCGTGCTGGTTATATCACCATCACCCTGCTGGTTATATCACCATCACCGTGGGCACACTACCTCACGATGGTGGTGGCTGGAAGGCTCTCCCTCATGTTCTCTACCCCTCACATATCATCTGTAAAACGCTTTGAATACAAAACACCAACAATTAGCTTACGACAACAGCGGCCCGAGGGTCAGTATTATGACGCTACGTGACGACTACACGTCTACAGTCAACATGACCAGACCTTCTTCAGACCTGAGACAACCCTCAGCCCCCAAGGCACCACCTGCGGCTACACCTGCGGCGGCTACGTCTGCCACCAGCGGCTACGCCTGCCACCTGCGGCTACACCTGCCTCCTGCGGCTACACCTGCCACCTGCCTTGTGAGCTGGTGGTCCAAGACCACAGTTACCGACCCATTAGGCTGACCATCTCTCAACACCTCACACGGAAATACACAACAATGACACCATTACAAAAGAACTACTTGTCAATGGCCAACATTGATTCATTTCAGTAGCAGCCAAACTTTATATATTTTTTTTTTGCTTACACTTAAGTTGTTTAATTATGAAGTGAAAGAAAGTGTTGTGTGGGTGCTGGACGGACTCCTTCAGGAAGACCTCATCATGATGAAATCAGAACAAAGATCATGAAGCCATGAAGTATTCTGACCAGCAATACTCCACTAAGCTACCTAAACGGCAGCCAGGCGTGGCACCCAGCTTATCAGTCTGGTCAAGTCTAACATTTCCCCCGTGAGAAAATCAATCATTACATGAGCTACTAAAACAAATTATTATACTAAGACACACCAACTGGGGGATGTGAAGCATGTTACTGATGGTGAACACTGACCCACACTAACCATGTTACTGATGGTGAACACTGACCCATACTAACCATGTTACTGATGGTGAACACTGACCCATACTAACCATGTTACTGATGGTGAACACTGACCCACACTAACCATGTTACTGATGGTGAACACTGACCCATACTAACCATGTTACTGATGGTGAACACTGACCCATACTAACCATGTTACTGATGGTGAACACTGACCCACACTAACCATGTTACTGATGGTGAACACTGACCCATACTAACCATGTTACTGATGGTGAACACTGACCCACACTAACCATGTTACTGATGGTGAACACTGACCCATACTAACCATGTTACTGATGGTGAACACTGACCCATACTAACCATGTTACTGATGGTGAACACTGACCCACACTAACCATGTTACTGATGGTGAACACTGACCCATACTAACCATGTTACTGATGGTGAACACTGACCCACACTAACCATGTTACTGATGGTGAACACTGACCCATACTAACCATGTTACTGATGGTGAACACTGACCCACACTAACCATGTTACTGATGGTGAACACTGACCCATACTAACCATGTTACTGATGGTGAACACTGACCCACACTAACCATGTTACTGATGGTGAACACTGACCCATACTAACCATGTTACTGATGGTGAACACTGACCCACACTAACCATGTTACTGATGGTGAACACTGACCCACACTAACCATGTTACTGATGGTGAACACTGACCCATACTAACCATGTTACTGATGGTGAACACTGACCCATACTAACCATGTTACTGATGGTGAACACTGACCCATACTAACCATGTTACTGATGGTGAACAC